ACTTTTAACTGGGGACTTTTGAATTTTACCAATCAAATATTTCCTTTGCTTTGCTTCAGCAAACACCTTATAAAAAGTCAATCCTTCACACTCCATTGGTGGAGTCCTGGGCTTTTGCAGTCTGGTTCTGCACTGTTTATGAGTCATTCATTACCTGTTCTATCAAACGGTTTATAATTCTAACGTGCCTAAATTGATCTTTGGCAGTTCTCAGGTTAATACTCAAGGGAGTCTCTTTGTACACCTCTTTGGTTTTTTTCTCATTGTAGTTCCTTCCTTTTTGGAACACAGCTTAGGGACCTCAAGTTTCTTTGGTCTCTCCAGACTCCAATTTATTATAAACTCTGCGATTCCACTGGGCTATATATGCATTCTACTCCATGCACTGTGACCTAAAAGTTTTGACTAGGCAGCATGCTGGGGGAATCATAAGAACAACTTGATTTGTTCATGGTCCCAGAAACATCACTTATCATTGCTGCTTATTGTCTAGGGTCTTGAGAACGCTGGATTGATTGCTTTTTTTTTTTTTTCTTCCAGTTTTTCTAAACTAGAGAGCAATTCCATTCTGGGAAGCACAGAAATCCTGCTATTTCATTAATAATGTTTAATGTAGTCATTCTGATCATGAGGATCCTCAGGGCCTTGTTTGAATCTCACCTTTATCTAAAGAACAGCCACTTGATTTCCATAGAAATAAAACTTTGCATTTCTCCAGGATCTAGCAGGGGCAGGATAATACAGCAAATCAAAACATGAATTACATGGTAACAGAAATGCTACATCAGAGCCCAGTTTAAAATACTCTTTTGCTAAATAGACATAGTAATAAACTGACCTCTAAACTCTTATCTTTATTTCCATAGGTTGGTACATCTCTTAATCCTCAGCAGAGGGCCTAGTTCTGCCTCCCAAGTGCTGGGATTAAAGGCGTGCACCACCACCGCCCAGCTTCTGCTATGGCTTGCTATTAGCTCTGACTCCCAGGCAACTTTATTTATTAACATACAAATAAAATCACATTTCAGTACAAATAAAATATCACCACAGTGCTATAATTTATTCTTCTAGGAATGTCTTTGTGTCTTTTTCTTTATTTCTTTGGAAAAGATCTTCAAAGAATAGATTACTGGATCTGAGAACACATGACTGTGTTATTTTATTAGATGGCACCAGATTCCAGTCATAGGGGCTAGGGCCATTTGCCATTATTGCCCACAATGAAAGAGAATACTTAGTCCTCAAAGACTAAGAGGAAAGCTGAGAGGGGACCACTATGTAGAAATTGGTGCTATGCATTTTACTAAGCCAGGAGAGTTACATGCTCTTGTCCTGTCATTATCTTTGAGGGCTTGATTTTTCTTCCTTTCTGTCTCTTATGACTCTGTATCTAGTCTCCCAGTGTGGGAAGGAAGGTCTTACATGAAGCAGGTAGTTGGTGTTCCCTCAAATGGACCTCTTGAACTACCAAGTGAGAAGGAGTGCTCTCTTAGGGGTAAGGACGATTCAAAATATGTGCAGAAAACCTCTGTAATCCAGGTTCTAAATCTATGAAACAAACAACTGTAGATTAAAAATATTTGAAAAGAAATTGTAATTTTACTGAGCAAGTGCTGGAATTAAAGGCGTGTACCATCACTGCCCGGCCCTATTGACCATTTTCAAAAGATCTTTAGTGTTATTTATCCCTTTCTATACTCCAGAAGGGAATTTAAATTTTGAGCTGGGTGGTGGTGGAGCACGCCTTTAATCCCAGCACTCGGGAGGCAGAGCCAGGCGGATCTCTGTGAGTTCAAGGCCAGCCTGGCCACCAAGTGAGTTCCAGGAAAGGCGCAAAGCTACACAGAGAAACCCTGTCTCGAAAACCCCCCCAAAAAAATCCGTTAATAAAGAAAAAAATAATTTAAATTTTGTTGTGTTGCCTCACAAAAAGCTATGACTATGCATTCAAGCAGAAGAAAAAAATAACGGACTCAGCTTGTGTTTCTCACAAATGTCCAGCTTCATGATAATAGTCTGCCAGTGCCCCTAACAATTAAACAAGGTATTACCATATGTCCCAAAAAATTGCACTCCTGGGTATATACAAAGATGAACAGCTTTCTGGTTGTTTGGCTTACTTTTGTACCAACTGGGAAAAACACTCCTGCTGTTACAGCACTAGACCCAATAAAAGGCATATATCCAAGATAAAGGTTAATACATAAAAGTCAATTGTTTTCCTATATACAAGCAATGAACAAATTAATTTTGAAATTAAAAATGTCATTTATAATACCACTCCCCAGAGGGATAATATGATACAGGTATCTTAATATATTATAAATATATGAAGTGGCCTCAATAAAAAGGATAGAGGAATAACATGCTGACAGAGTTAAATTTGGAATGAGTGGAGTCCAATGTTTAAGGCAAAAGAATTGCATATCATTTGGCACTCTAATGGGTAAGGTTGTTTCCCACAAATAAAATGCATATATGTGTATAATAGGATTGAATGATTAACAAAATGGTGAACTGTGGGAGAAAAGTTTCTTACAGTTGAAATAGAAGGTTGCACATAAGCAAAGGAGTCTATAATGATCTACCCAGTAATTAACTACAACTGGTAACACCAACATAAACCTATGTTTAGCTTTATATAGGTAAAGTAGGTTGCCTATAGGAAATTTACATTTCTGCCTATTTTTCTTTATAAACAAACACCTCCTCTCTCTGTTAGCTGAGGGTCCTAGAAACAATGATATCCCTAATATGCCTACCTCTCTGACATTAATTTTTGAGATACAATTCTCTGGCAAAAGTTATGAGGGCTCCATGGAGAAGTGATTGAATCTAGAAATTGGGTAGGAAGTACTGCAAGAAAACATTCCAGTATTTTGTGGTTGTTGCTTGAAACAGGGACTTCTACATGGCTAAGGCTGACTTCAAACTCTCTATATAGCCTAGGCTGGTCAGTTCAGGCACTTATTTGCTGGTATTATAGGTATATGTACCATCATGCCTTGCTAAGGTATCTTATAGTGGCAGAAGGCACTAAAAACCCCATAATAAAATAATGTAGGAAAACTGGAATATAGAAGTCAACTGAAAAAGCTCCCAATGTTCAAGGCAGAAATGATTTGACTAATGAAATATGTAAAACAAGGCTATATTACACTCAAAAGTATAAAAATAAGTATTCATGAGTCTATACTGCCATAAATACATTACATACATAAATTAATGGAGTCTGGGCATAGTGGGTGCTTGTCTTTAACCCAGCACTCAGGAGGCAGAGGCAGTCTGATCTTTGTGATTTTGGGGCCAGCCTGATCTACATAGTGAGCTCCGGGACAGCCAGGACTACATACAGAAACCTTATAAAAATTTTAATTAATTAAATTATATATATATTCTATGTATAGAGATTCTAAATTAGTCTTACAAATATTCTGCCATTGAGATGAAACATAATGCCCTATTCTTGAAACTTACATTGCCAATGAAGACTATTTTATAGAGTAGTTTGGAATGAGAGAAAGTATAAATATCAACATCAAGAAACCTGGCAAGCCGGACATGGTGGTGCAAGCCTTTAATATCAGTACTTGGGAGGCAGAGGCAAGCAGATCTTTGTGAGTTGGAGGTCACATGTTCTACAGAGTAAGTTCTAGGCCACATGGTCTACACTGTGAGTTCCAGAACAGCCAGGGCTGTGTGGAGAGACCCTATGTCAAAAAACAACAACAAAAATGGAAACTTGGCAGGCACAAGTTCATCCTGGTGAGCAAGTCTAATGGAGCATCATCAGTAATAATGAATACTGATAATATTTACTCTTTACATGATGTGACAAGAATGGTATTTTATACATAAGATTTTCTTCCCCCAAAATTGCATTACTGTGAGATATGATGGCTACTCTTGGACGTCAACTTGACACCGGGGAAGAGTCTCAACTGAAGAAGTTCATCATTAGAATGACATGTGGGCATTTCTGTGGGCATATTCTTGACTGCTAGTTGATGTAGGAGGACCCAGTCTACTGTGGGCAGTACCATAGATAGGCAGGTGGGCCGAGTATATGAGAGGTGGCTTAATGTGAAACTGGAAGAGAGCTGGTAGTACCTTTCTTTACAGCTCCTGCCTTAAGTGCTGACCCTGGCTTCCCTCAGCAATGGACAGTAATCAGTAACCAGCGAACTGAAATGAACTCTGTCCTCTTGAAGTTGATTTTAGCCATAGTGTTTAACACATCAACAGAAAGAAAACCAAGATATAGGTGTAATAAGAAGAAAAACATAAAGCAAACCTATATTGTGAGACAGTATATATCTAACTACTATGTTTCAAAAGTGTCAAGGTCATTAAAACTAGGTGAACTTAAAAAAAAACTCTCAAGGGGTGGAACCCTCAGAAATATGATTTTAAAATGTTCTGTGCTAACATTAACAGGCTCCTCTACCAGAGAAAGGACACTGAAGCCTGTGAACATGGCACATTACTCATATGTAATAAAGCATTAGTATTGGTCAAGTTTGGCAAATGAACCATCCTAATGAAGGGCTTTAGAAAGAGTAAATACAGGCCAGGCAGTGGTGGCACACGCCTTTAATTCCAGCACTCGGGAGGCAGAGGCAGGCCTGGACTACACATCGAGATCCAGGACAGGCACCAAAACTACAGAGAGAAACCCTGTCTTAAAAAAAAAAAAGGCCTATTTTAGAACAAGTGCAAGTAAAAAAAACTAACACTATACAGATAGAGGTGGTGGTGACAGGTCTGCGAAAATGGAATCAGAGGGCTTGATATGAGTTTCTGCAGAAGCAGTTCCCCAGAAAAGGCATGTGAGCACTCAGATCAGCGGGGAGAACAGCACAGCACCTGTGCATTCATGTTGTTTCCTGCACCATTCCCCTCTAAGATTCCGGGAGGGGCCGTGTGGAAATAGACAAAACCATAAAGAGTCCCATGAATCTCATGGATTATCAAGACCCAAATGATAACTGGGTCCTACCAACGAGGGGAAGATAATTTTATTGGAGTCAGATTGGGAGTCTCTACCCTGTGGTTGGGCTAAAGGATTCCTTTCTCATGCAGAGCCTCCAGGTCACCACAGTGTCCCCAGAGGAGGGAGGAACTGTGACAAGAGGCATAGGACCAGGGAGACATGGCATGGACTCGCAGTTATCCGGACTTACTCCTGAGCAAAGTGGAGACCTCTCTTAGCCCAGCCACAAGTGTCTAACCAAGTTCCAGAGTTCTTAGTGCAGGGAAGGAGGCAAGGAGCAAACCATGGCCGTTCACATTCTCACTGCTTCCTACACTCCTCTCCACAACCTTGCATGGTAAGATTTATCCCCATTTCACAGATGGCAAGGCTCTGCCTTACAGCACTAAAGGAGAGATTGATTCTTCCACCATGGAGCTCCAGGAGTAATACAAACATTGCCTCCTATTTTACTGCAAGGACTCCACTTCCCACATGCACAGTGTTCTGACTGCTTAGGGCTAGTTCCCAACTCCTGTATCTTATGCCCAGAAGGAGCAGCCATCTTAGGAGACAATAAACTATTGACAAAACCAAAAAGAACCACACAAGTAATTTTCAGACTTGTTTGCTCGGTGTACATTACTATCTGTTGCAGTTTCACAGAAGTAGGCTGATGCCACATAGAGGGTTCTGAGGCTCATGTCCTTGAATTTGACAACACACTCTGAGTATTACTTTTTCCACGCAGTGAGGGGAAACAGACTACACTGGAATCTGAACATGGCAGGCAGAAGGGTCAAACAGGCTGCAGCTATCAGGAGGAAAGCCTAAATCGAAGCAGCAGCATAAGTTAGAGCACTCTGCGCAGCAGATGCTGCCCGGGAACTAAACATAAGGGATGTCTTCAGTGTCCCTTCGCGGGGCCCTGCAGCCACCCCTGAATTCCCTCGGGCCCCTTGGGTAGAAGGGGTCCTGCAAACTTCTTTGCATCCAAAAGATCCGCCCCATCTTCTGCTTGTTCTTCCTCTCATCCTCCTTGACCCTTGCCATGTTGTCAAATTCTCTAATCATGTCCTCATTGCTGAAGTGCATATCGTGGATGGCCTCTTTATACTCCTTGAGGCAATGGGCCAGCCCCTTGTTGGTTTTTCTTTTGGCTTTTCTGGGCAGGTGGTCCTCAGCTGGGCGCTTTCCTGCAGAGCTTCCTTTACTTTCTGGCTTTGCCTGGCTCTCTGGTCTTCCTTCCTGTTTTGCTTTTCTCTCAGGCTCTGGCTGCTCCTGGCGCTTTGGCAGCATCCCCTCATCTCCTGCCTTTGCCTGGTTTTCTGACATTTCTTTGTCTCCCAGAGAAAAGGCTACTTCTGTCTGTCCGTCCTCCTGTGGCGCTTTACCCTTTTCCCTCTGTCCTTGCATCGAAGGCATTGCTTCCTTCTCCCTCGAGAGTTCTTCCATGTCCAGATTTTTATTTTCCTGTCCTGGGGGTTTAGGAGGGGGTGGGGTGAGGAAAGAGGAAATAGAGAGGACACCGAGACTGAGGAGCGGGCACGGAAGGCACATGCATCTAGTCTTTGCATCTTGCCCTTGAGAATGGTTCTCTAACTAAGCCTGTCTGCCCTCCAAGTGTGCCTTCTGCCTGCACCCCTCCCTCACAGGTGAGGCAAGGACACACCTGCAAGAGCTGCCACCTCCTCTGTGCCCCTTCACTGCAGCAAACACTGTGGAATAGGGCGGGGGTGCGCAGTGGAGCCCCAATTCTGCCTGTTTCCCTGAACAGGCAGCTGCTGTACACTGACCTGCAGGGGTTCAGAACAGATCGCCCCTGCTTTCCAGGGGTCCCAGCAAGCAGGCAACAGCAGGCTCAAATATGCTGACAGGGCACAGGGGCAGGGGCTGTGCACTCCGTGAACAGCTGTGACCAGGAAACTGTGCTGGATTCAGGACTTGTCCTCCTCCATCCCCCCTGTTCCCCAGCAGCCATTTCTTTTCAAGCCTTGAGCTCAGAAGGAGGACGCTCTTCTAACTACTTTGGTGTCTGTGTCTCCCTGCCCTGGCTGGAACTCAAGAGCCCACCTTGGCGCTGAACGGCTTTTGGGTCAGGCATGGCAGAAGGTTGTTGTTCCTTCTTTCTTTCTGCCTATCTTTCTTTCTTTCTTTCTTTCTTTCTTTCTTTCTTTCTTTCTTTCTTTCTTTCTTTCTTTCTTTCTTTCTTCCTTCCTTCCTTCCTTCCTTCCTTCCTTCCTTCCTTCCTTCCTTCCTTCCTTCCTTCCTTCCTTTCTCTCTTTCTCTCTTTCTTTCCACGCCCTCTTTTAGAGGGCTCCTCCTAGCCCCGGTGCAGAACTGGGACTCCAAAGAGGGACAGAGAAGGGGCAGCGAAGGCAGCTAAGATACTGGGTGGGGTGTAGCAGGCAGGCGGGGATACTTGGGGGTGTCTGCCTCTTCTGCCCTCTGCCCAGCGGCTGCAAGCTCCCCAGTAGCCTCCATTTCCCATTGCCTCTTCCGTCTATACCCAAGCCCTCCTCCCTTGTTCCAAACTCCACCTCCAATCTTTCCCTCCTAGCGCCCAGCTGGCCTCACCCCGCAGCCTTCGCCTCTAGGAGCAAAGCCTCACACTGACCTGAGAGAAGCAAGAACAGTAACCAGGAGCCCAGGGACTTGAGAGATGGCTCTGGGACAGAGCCCTGGGGAGCGAGGGCGGGGCACTCCAGCTGGCAAGTCACATGACAGCATCCCAGCACCAGCCTTCCCCCCTCCTGCATACTAGGAAGAGTCAGTGAGTCAGTCACACAGCACCTCCTTGATCAGGTATCCCTCACCTCTTGGGCGTGTCTGTTTCTCTGGTTGGAAAGTTGCTTTTACAAAGAATTTTATTCAATACCAGTTTTTTTTCTTCATCTGTACTGGGCATTGTGATGAAAGAATCTTGACAATGTGGCTTTCAATTCTATTACAAGATCAGAATCACAGAGGCAAGTCCTGTAATTGTGAATTGAATGTGTGGACAGTAGGCTATTGCACTTTTGAGAATAAAGTGGAAATTTGTCTCACCAAATGACAGTTCCTAATTTTATTGTCTGACTTTCATGCATTTTCCAAAGGAAAAGGAAAAGTACTTATATTTGAGCTAAGTGAAAGAATGATTAATTTATTTTAAACGGGAAATGGAGTATGCAAGGGGCAATGATCTGACCCTGGATGAAAACAACCGTCATCCGCCATCCTTCCAGCACACACCTTGAGTAACCAAAGCACAGCTCCGCACCAATCTTCCGGACTGAAAGACTAACCACCTTCCCATTAAATATATCTAATACGCCCTCTATCTATGATGTTCCATGCCCAGCATCCAGCTGCCTGGTCCCCTGCTCCATCTTCTCAAGAAATTCCTGAAGTCTTAGGTGCTTTAAAACGATCTCCATCACAAAGCTCTCTCACTTGCATCTCTGACAAACAAATGATGCTGTGTGACTCCATTGCTTTAACAAGTTGTAAACAAGGAGTCCCTGTTGTTGTTATGTGGGATGCCCCTCTCTCTCCCTTCACCTACCTTGGGGAGGTTCCTTTACAGTAGTCTTGAAACCTCATTAATAGACTATGTTGCCTCTCTTCCAAAAGACAGAAATGGCCTTCTGAATGGAGACAGTCCACTCTCTCCCTGGTAAGAGTTAATCCAGGTGGGTCAGCCAACCAGGAGGCCAAAGGACCCCTTCTCAAAAATGGAGATCCTTCCTCCAGAGCCATACTAAAAAGCAAAAGGGGCCATACTGATCCCTTCATGAGGCAATGTGCCTCCCCTTCCATAAGCCCTGCTCCTCTGGCAGTCTCCCACAGAGCTGCAATCTTGCAGCCTCTAGGGTCTGCCCACTTTCCTCTCTTTTCTAGGTGTGCTTTCACTAACCCTCTTTCCTTCCCTGACACTGTCTGCTTCACTCTTTCCCTAAAGCTCCCTCCCTACCGTGGGGCTGCTTATGAACCCTGTGTGTCAGCCATGCAGACTTAATTCAGATGGGACAGCTTTCCTCTTTTTCTGCTCATCTCTGTCCTCAGGGCAGCTGAGGAGATTTGCAATTACCTGCCCTGGAGCTTTTCAGGTTTTTCTTGCTCTTTTTTCCTCCTTAGGTTTATTTATTTTATTCTCTGTGTGTGAGAGTTTTCCCTGCATAAATGTCTGTGTACCACTTGGGTGCCTGGTATGCAAAGAGGTCAGAATTGGCATCAGATCCCCTGGAATTGGGGTTGTGCATGGTTTGAGACTCCTGGTGGATGCTGGGAACCAAACCTGGGTCTTCTGCAAGAACAAGTGCTCTAAAGAAATTAGGGTTTCTGTTTTAAACTCTAATGTCATTATTCTCCACAGGCTAGAGAGATATCTCTGTAGTTAAGAGCCCTTGTTCTTGTTGAAGACCCTTGGTCAGTTCTCAGAACCCATATGGAAGATCATAATCACCTGTAACTTCAGTTCCTGGAGATCTAACACACTCTTCAGACCTATTCCAGTACCAGACACCCAAAGGCTGTACATGCATGCATTCAGGCAAAATACCCATACACATAAAACAACATAAATAAATCTAAACTTTTATTGTCATCAAATATCCATTGAGTCTTTTTTAAAATTGCATTATTAAAGAGACCAAAAACCTCAAGAAGATTTGTGGAATTTTCTGGACTCAACATGTCGATTTTATAATTGTTTTTGTTTTTTATATCTTTATGAGATACATAAACGTACAGAAAGAAACGGCATATTAGGGTTTTATAAAGAACCAGTTTCTTCAAATTTAGTTATTGGAATAAATGAAGTGATGAATAGTGTGTGGGAAAGTTATGGAACAAGATGACCAGCCCGACCAATATTAGAAAAAAATACTTTTTAAGGCATGAAAGCTAAGGCATGTTTTAAAAGAGAATAGAGGTGTGATAAGGAAGGTTTCAGGAAACTACCCATGCTCTCAGATATCCTAGCATATTGCTAGTCAGCAAGACATAATTATTAATTCCACATGATAGTATCAAGTTGAACTAATACTACAACATAAAGTTGAATTAAAATTGATGGGCCTGAATAATTCAAAGTATTATTTATTGTTATCCTGCCTTGTTTTAAAAAGCATAAGGCTTGCTATTATTATTATTATTATTATTATTGATTTCATTATTTTTAATTGAATATAGGTTATTTTCTTATCGACTAAATGTCGATAAGAAATCTTTATCGACTTCAAAATCCTATGAACACGGAAGCCATGAAATATACTCAAAGGACCAGATGCAGACTCTTGCAGACTCTATGAATGCCGGTGTATTATGTCTGCTTCATATAGGCTTTAATCAGCCAACTAGCCAGCCCGGGGATGTAGCTCAGCGGTAGAGCACATGCTTTGCATGTATGAGGCCCCGGGTTCGAGCCCCGGCATCTCCAGTGCCCTTTTTCTTTTGCAGGGGGTTCCGGGAAAAGGTGTCCCAGACTTTAACTTCTTCTGTTAGACTGTATATGCATAGCTAATTATACAATGAAATTTCTCATCTCTCACCGTGACAACAATGTGACGACATTTCCATGGAGACAAACATAGTCTGGTGAGTAGAACGTGATCATGCCTCCAGGGATATGTTTTGTTCACAAAACAGAAAAGCAAAGCTCTGCTTTCCTGCTGGTGGCAGTTTCTCTAATGGGTATGCTTTCTCGGGTGATAACAAGGGTGAAGAGTTCTTGCTTTGAGAGAAAGGAAGGGAGGGCTGGGCAGAACCATTCCTGCTTACTGAATAGGGGAAGCATTGCTGTTGTCATAGAAACCTGGGTTCATTATGAAGACTGTTTTCAATGGCGATCCAGGCGGTGTCCTGGAAAATGAGCATTGTTGGTGTTTGGACTGAGCTGAGCTTATGGATTCCTGGAGGTGAGCACTGGAATCTTCCTGAGGGTGGAGAGGCAGAAGCAGGGATCCCAGACTCAAGTAGGTTCACCCCCACTTCAGGATTTGTAGCCAGTGTGTCTCTTCAGTGTGCTGTTCTGTGCAGGGAGGGGTGTGCTGGAGTCACTGTCCGGGCTAGGTGTTCTGGGGAAGGAAGCAGGAGGGACATAAGACATTGTGAGCACACTCTGATCCCAGTTTCCTGCTCTGTGAAAAGGGGATGAGATTGCTCACTCTCAGGATCGGTGGGACAGTAAGTGGTAAAGCCTAAAGGGAAGTCAATGATTACCCTGCATGTCTCAGATGATTATTTCAATATGCAGTTGGTTAGTGGGTTTTCTTTTTCGTTTTTAGTAATTTGAGGTTTTATTTGCTTTTGAGACAGCAATCACTGTGTCCTATCCTGGCTGAGAACCCTCAGTCATTCTCCTGCCTCAGCTGCCTCTTGTAGGGACTTCAGGTGTGGAACACAGTGTGCTTGGCACCAGTTTGGGATTTTAATTTCCATTTTTGTGATACCCACCCTCCAGGTGGCCCTGATCTTTACTCAGAATCCCAGCCATGATGCTCTCTGCATATGGCATTAATATTTCTAATGAATCTCTTACAAAAAGGACAGTTCTATCAATGTCCCCTTGAACAACACACCTGAAACCTTTCCCATTTCTCAATTTCTATTTTCTGCCTGACTTTTGTGAGCTTTTCTGTATGATTCATAGAAACTCTTTATTGAATATATGTTTTTCTAACTTTTCTCCTAGCCATAGAGTTATCTTCTCAATTTTTATCAATCCTCTAGAAGAGCTGGTGATTTTAATTGTAAGGATTCCATCTTCTCCAGTTCTTCAATTATGGTTTTTATTTGGTGTCTTGTCTGTGATATCTTCACTCAGTCCCAGAAACAAGGATTTTCTTCTGTGTGTTCTCTTTGACATTTATAGGCTTTTTTAAAAAATATTTTGCATCTCTAATCTATTTAGAATGGTCTTTGCACATGATATGATTTATATTTAGATTTGTGGATATGGATATACACCTGCCTCTGCATTGTTTGCTGAAAGACCATCCTTTCTGCACCAAATTGCCTCTGCATATTTGTCAAACATCAGTTCTCCAACATTCCAGGCATGGTACATGTGCCAATATTCCCAGTGCCTGAGAGGCTGCAGCAGCAATATTGTCAGTTCTTTTCAGCCCTGACTCTGCACAGGCTTGATGTCAGCATGGGATACAAAAAAAATGTTGACACACAGTAGGCAATGGTCTGTAAATGTGTGGGTGTAAGCACGGACTGTAGATTTTGGTCTTTTACTTGCCAATGTTGATTCCAATAGCATGCTGGTCCAATTGCTCTAGGTTCATATGGTGATATCCTGTCAGGCAATGCTGTTCTCTAACTTTGTTCTGTGTCTAAGGTTTTTCCACAAACTGTATATTTATCTATAAAGATTATTAGTAGTTATCCAAGTTTTCAAAAACTTAGTGTAATTTTTTTGTTATTGCATTGAATCTGTAGACATCTTTGAATCAATAGACATCTTACCGATAATGAATTGTCTGGCCCATGAATATCATATGTCCTCCTTTATATAGGTAGTCTCCAATTCAGCAATGTTTTGAGATGTTTCAGTCTATAGGCACTGTAGATCTATGTGCCCAGATTGTTCACTAAATTTTTGCACTTTTTGATTCCACTACACCAGGTACTATTTTAAAAATACAATTCCTAATTCTTGTATTTTCTGCAAAGTAATTATTAAATTCTCTGTGATTCATTAAGAACAAAATGTCAATGATACTTAGGAAGGATCCCTTTGTTTGAAAGCATTGATTATGCTGTGATGGAACCTTTATTTGATGATTATTGCAGTTTGTCCCCATTTCCTTGGCAGTGTATTGGAAGAAATGAGAGAAATGTCCCAGAGACATGTGAATGGGCCATCATCACAGGAATCACACCGAAAGAGCATAATTTAGTAGCTTTCAGCATCCCGTGAGTGGTTAGAGATGAATCTGTTGAAGATGTGGTTTTACCTCTTGACCTCTCAGTAAACACCTTAATGAATACCAGGGAGCTAGGATAGTGAGAGTGAGATGTTGTGAATGCGTGAACAGGAATTCCCAGACAGAATCTGGTCTGCAAAGACTGGTGAATGACTGATAGAACATCAGTGATGTAGAGGAGACCATGGAATGTTGTAGGCCCAGAGCCTAATTACATTTAATTTTGTGCTCTCTTTAGCCCAGGAGGAGCCGTTCTTTGACCCCTCTGTGTTGGACTGACCTAGCATCTTGTCACTAACAGATGAAGATGGAACTGACATTTAAAAAATCAGAAAATATCACTTTAGCAAAGCCTTAATTTTCTGCCAGTCAAAGGACTGAGTGTCATCACAAGGCAGCTAATGCCTGTAGCTGAGGTTTCTCTGCTTTACCATAGTAGCCTACTTAATATCTCCACCAATGCACTTAAGGACTGCCTTGATTCATAGTTTTCTTCACTTTGTTACTAGACAAACTACATGAAACTGTTTCCACATTGTAACATGGAATTTGTAATAATCTAAATCTGTCCCAGCTGTATTTTCTCACTAATTTGACTCCAGAATAAAACTTTCTTCCTATGAGCTGAGAGCCGTGTTTTTGCATTGACATTTGTAAGTGTGTATTTGTATGTATACTTACTAAATATGTCTCTGAGATGCCGGGCATATTCATCACTGAACGTTAAATGATGTGCTCATGCCATTCATAGATTAGGAGCTTATGAGGAAAAAATGTGGTATGCATTTTTCTCCCTTGTATTCCTCAGCCAACATCATTACCTCAGTGCCTAGATTATTTCTGTGGGATATGACAGATACTAATTATATATTTGTGAAAGTCAGTTAAATCTATTATTACTGTGATAGGTTTTGTGTGTTATAATTCTCCTACTGCCTCTTCATGGTGATCTGGTGTTTACTATATTGCTTATCTATTCCCCATAGTTATTTATTCATGCAAGGGTTTATCTCAGTATGTCTCAGAATACCTATTACGGTTACCCTCACATATTGGCATTCTGTGTTTTGAAGCTCAATTTGTCCAGGTATTGGCCAGAAGAGTCCATTAAAGGTGCCTGTGGAGCATTTCCTGAGTCTAAACATTGCACTGTCTGAGCCCTTGTATAGAAAGGAATTAATGATGTCCACCTCAAAGAATCATTTTGAGGCCTGAAGAGACAGAAAGCAGACACATGTTGTGTGTGTCTAGTAAGGCAAATTTCCCTTGCCTCTTTCATGCAGTCAGTGTGATGACTCTGGCATGAAAGTAGTTCATGAGTACACACAAGGGAGAGCACTTGGCAAGGTAATGGCAAATGAACAAGCTCTCACTTCCATTATGTGTATGCATTCCTAGGTATCACTGTGTGTGTCCATGGTGATGTGATGAGCTGGGAAGAGGAAAAGCATCATTGTATACCTTCTACTGATGGAGTCTGCACAGGTAAGGCACCGCCAATCCATCCCCTGGCTTTTATTGCTTTCTCATTCTGGATTCCTCAATTTCATGTGTTTTCTTTCCCCCTATGCTACCTAGTAGTCTAAAAGGGAAGGGTTTATTCTCTGCATCCCAGAAGCAGGAAGTGCTAGAGAAGAATCCAGTGTGTTGTGATGTGTGCCTGACAGACAGGGTGAAAAGAATAAGAGATATTATGGGTAACTTATTTCCCTTCCCCCATCCTTCTCCATCAGTATGCTAACAATATCCCATCCTGTCTTCATCTACAATCCTCTCAGGGTAAATGTGTTCCCATGTGCATAAATGCTCGGTCATCTCAGATGGATGGAAGGACCAAGGCACTCAGGAGTAATATATTACATCAGCTGTCCCAGAACTGCATGGTAGGTTTTGATTATTTGCACTTAAAATGGTGAGTGCCTGCATGTCTAACTCTTTTTGATGTTATTGTAAATATCGTTCATTTACATACACCTCTTTTAAGAACAGAGTCTCTAATACATTTTCTTTATGTGTGTAGAGGACTGTATCACATTACATCACTTATACTTGTTGCTTCAAATATCACACAGAACTGAGAGATAGTAAGAGGACAAGGAAATGTGGACTATATTGAATCATATTTTTTCTTGCTGTGTACTGACCTGCAAGGATTCAATTCTGGTCCCCCTCCTTTTCAAGCATCAAGATGAGCTGGGAAGAGCAGGTTCAGATATGCAGACTGGGCACACAAGCAGGGTCTGTGCACTCAATGGAAGGCCGTGACTGGGCACCTGTCCTGAATCCAGCACCGGCCTCCACCTTCTCCTCCACCACCCTCCCTGCTCCTCAGCCACCATTTCTTCTCCTGTGTTGGGCTCCAAACATGGATGCTCTTTTGGGGTCTGTGGCTTTCTCAGTTCTGACAGCAACTCTAGACCCCACCTTGAAGATTAACATCTCCCTGGGGTGCGAATGGAGATTTTCCATGCCCTCTCTTCCAGGGCTTCTCCATGCTTGGGTCTGAGACTAGGACTCTCAAGTGTGGCAGAGAAGAGGCATAGAGGGCAGGCTGGATATATTGGTGTGGTGTGGAAGGCAGGCAGGTGTACTTAGGGAGTTCTGACTTCTCTACCCAACTTGCCTTTAAATCCATCTGAATATGCCCCCTACTCTGTGACATACTCAGTGTCTAGATGCCTTGTTCCAGTTATATCTTCTCAAGAAATTCCTGTTTTGTTATGCCATGCCTGAAATCTTAGGAGCTTTAAAAAGATCTCCATCACATAGCTCTCTCACTTGCATCTCTGACAAACAAATGATGTTGTGTGACTCCATTGCTTTAACGAGTTGTAAACAAGGAGTCCCTGTTGTTATGTGGGATGCCCCTCTCTCCCCCTTCACCTAGCCTTGGGGCGGTCCCATTATAGTAGTCTTGAAACCTCATTAATAGACTATGTTGCCTCTCTTCCAAAAGACAGAAATGGCCTTCTGAATGGAGACAGTCCACTCTCTCCCTGGTAAGAGTTAATCCAGGAGGGTCAGCCAACCAGGAGTCCAAAGGACCTCTTCTCAAAAATGGAGATCCTTCCCCTAAGCCAAACCAAAAACACAAAAGGGGCTGTACTGATCCCTTCATGAGGTAATGTGCCTCCCCTTCTATAAGCCATGCTCCTCTGGCAGTCTCCCTCAGAGCTGCAATCTTGCAGCCTCTAGGGGTTGCCCACTTTCCTCTCTTTTCTTGGTGTGCTTTCACTAACTCTCTTTCCTTCCCAGACACTGTGACCTTTCTCTAAATTTCCCTCCCTCCCTACCGTGTGGCTGCTTATGAACCCTGTGTGTCAGCCATGCAGACTAATTCAGATGGGACAGCTTTCCTCTTTTTCTGTTCGAGATTTGCAATTACCTGTCCTGGAGCTTTTCAGGTTTTTCTTTCTCTGTTTTCCTTCTTAGGTTTATTTATTATATACTATGTGTGTGAGTATTTCGCCTGCATAAATGTCTGTGTACCACTTGGGTGCCTGGTATGCAAAGAGGTCAGAAATGGCAGCAGATGCCTGGAATTGGAGTTGTGCATGGCTGGGAGCCTCCTGGTGGATGCTGGGAACCAAACCTGGGTCTTCTGCAAGAACAAGTGCTCTAAAGACATTTGGTTTTCTCTTTTAAACTCTAATGTCATTGTCCTCCAGATGCTAGAGAGATGTCTATGTAGTTAAGAGCCCTTTTTCTTGTTGAAGACCCTTGATCAGTTCTCAGCACCCATACCATGTGTATCTTCATTTCCTGGGGATCTGACATCCTCTTCTGACCTCTTCCAACACCAGAACACAATGTCTGTATATGCATGCATGCAGGCAAAATACCCATACACATAAAATTATAAACAATTCTTAACTTTTTATTGTCATCAAAAATACATTGAGTCTTTTTAAAAATTGTGTTATCAATAAGCCCAAGAAACCCAAAAGGATTTTCTGTTATTTCTGGAATCAATATGTGCTGTGGGATGTGGTTCTATATGCTGTGCATATACGTTGGTCTCATTGGTTGGTAAATCAAGCTGTTTGGCCAATGGTGAGGCAGAATAAGGTTAGGCAGTACATTCAGACTGAACATGGAGATGGAGAAGAGTGTAGTTGCAGCAAATGCTGGGAACTGCCGCCAGGAGAAGCAAGATGTGAGAGAACAGGTAATGTCATGAAGCCAAGTGGCCAAACATAGGTTAATAGGAATGGGTTGAGTTAAGTTCTAAGAGCTAGCTGGCAAGAAGCCTGAGCCATATGCCATACAGTTTGTAATTAATATAAGCCTCTGTGTGTTTACTTGGGACTGAGAGTCTGCAGGACCAGGCAGGATACAAGAAAACTTGTGGCTACAATTGGCACCCAGGTGTGATATCCCTGGCCTGCTAATTGCAGCTCAGTTGCCACCTGCAGAGGCCAGAACTTTTTGCTCCCCAGACATACACTGTGGCCCCTGTCACCCTGTGCCTGTGTCTTTAAGCCCGTCACGGTGCTCCCAAGCCCACATGGACAGGTGAGCTCTTAAAGAGCCACTAGGGCTGTAATGATGGCCCACCCACACGTTGGGGGCACCAGATGTAGGCAGAAATCCAAGGGAGTCTGCTTAAGGGGTAGAGGGAATTTATTAGGATGTAAATTGGAGAGAACAACTCACTAAACAGAAAAAAAGGCAAAATCATCTCAGAGTCCTGGAAGGCTGATATCCTGTCCCATGCTCCTCCTGCTGCCTAAGTCAGTCCACACTACCCGAGTCCAGAGGGAGGAGGAGAGCCAGGCATTCATGCTCCCCAGGTCTCAAGCCTGCCTGAGGCCATGCCCTGTGGGCTGGTACCTCAAGGTCATAGGTGGAACAGGTATCCACTAAAATATGTCTTATTAATAATTGTTTTTGTTTCTATAGACAGTCATTTTCTGAGGAATATCCTTGGTTATCCTAGAAATTGCTTTGTAGTCCATGCAAGGCCTGAACTCACAGAGATGCCCACCTCTGTCTTCCAAGTGCTGGGGTTATTCCCATGCACCATAATTAATGCCACGCTTCAATATGTCTTAAAATATATCATAAGGATGAGACGAATGATTTGCTTGTTTAGGGTTTTTCTCCTCATAGTTTAACTACTTTTGATTATTTTTAAAAATGTATTATGGTCTGACCTGGAACAGTTAGGGAAATCTGGCCAGGTAGTGTGACATCAGTCACGGTTCATAATCTCTTCTTAGTTCTTAAGTCTCTTTATTAACATGGGGTTTGCTTAGTGCTCTAGTTTATATTTCCACAAAAGGACACACCTTAGCACTCTTTTTGCCAGGGCACCATACACTGGAAAGAACACAGCTGTATACTGTAGCTAGAGTTTTCCTGCCTGGCCCACAGTCAGGACAAATCTCTCTCACCTGCCAGTCCCACAGTCGTTCAAACCCGACCAAGTAAACACAGAGACTTATTTTGCTTACAAACTGTATGGCCATGGCAGGCTTCTTGCTAACTGTTCTTACAGCTTAAATTAACCCATTTCTATTAATCTATACCTTGCCATGTGGCTTGTGGCTTACCGGCATCTTCACATGCTGTTTCTTATCGTGGCGGCTGGCAGTGTCTCTCTGACTCAGCCTTCCACTTCCCAGCTTTATTCTCCTCCTTGTCCCGCCTACACTTCCTGCCTAGCCAATGGCCAATCAGTGTTTTATTTATTGACTAATTAGCAACACATTTGCCATACAGAACATCCCACAGCAGTATACCTTTCAATACTTAAGCTTAAATCACATGTAAGGAAATCCCCTGCTGTGTTTGTGTTCAGACTTTGCAAACTGATTTTGCCATGGTTGATTTTCCCGATCTATGGAGGTTTTTTTCATGACCTTTCATCACAGTAACAAAAAAGTAACTAATGCAACTTGTTAAAGGGATTTCCATGAGGAAGTTTTGTTATGTTTCCTTTTCACCTGCCTCTCAGAACTGAGAAATTACTCATAATTACCTTCCATACGTAATCTTATATCATGATTTTCCTTGATAAAAAGACTGTTGATACATGTGTGAATTATTATATTTATGTTAAGAATGTTCTCATATGTTTGTATTTCTATTACCATGTATGAAGAATTCAATCATATATCTTCTTATTGTTTTGTCATGATTTTAAGTTAGTTGAGTTCTGGGACTTGAAGAGGGAAGTATTAGGAGGACCCCTGACATACTCAAACACTTCTGGAAAAAGACCATAGTGAAATTGGGGATCCAAGGAGACAGGCTGAGGAAAAATCTGTTGGCTCTTTTTCAAATCTACCCTCAAGGGCACAGCAGCACATTTGATGGCTAAAACAAGATATCATCCATGAGATTTAACGGCACATGACTGGACTATGTACTCGCTTGTTTCCTTCTAAACTAATGATGAAGTTAATGTTTGTTGTAGAGAGTCTAGATGTATTGTGGTCTTGGATGACCCAGGGGAGAAAAATGGAATGAAGGAGTTTCCGAGACCATTCAATGTGGTTCAACTAAGTAGCTAAGTTTCTCTTTACTAAGATAAGTATAATATGCCAATTCTGCTTCTTTCAAATAAGTTTGAGATTCCTTTGGTGACTTTTTTTGGTCTCTTGTATCTTACACTGGCATCAAACTTACATTGTAAGGAGGAGGGTCTTGGACTCCTGGTCTTCCTTTCTCCACTTAGGGAGTTGGGGGATTGTAGGCATGTGCCACCAATCTGGGCTAAAAGTAGTTTTTTGGTATTTTGGGGGGATTTTTTTTGGTTTTGTTTTATTTGGGTATTTTAGTGTTCCTAGGCTATTTAGTGATGGTGTTGGAGGAAAATCTTGCAGTTTTCTGCCATGGATGGATTGTGCATTCCTCTTTAGAGGAATGTCCATGTCCCATAGCTCTACCATATATCCCTTCCTATACATTGCTGGTAGTTGCATAAGCTCACTACCATAATATGCTAAATTCCTGACAAGAGATACTTTATTTCCAAAACCTGAGTTCTGTTGATTGTGTCCACCTAGATCCTTGTAGTTATGCTTCTCAGTTGGTGGCCTTCTAAGGAAGACGTTTTTTGCTTTGAATGAAAAGTAAGGTGGGAAGGGAGGACTGCATCTCCAGAGGCATTTCCCGTGTGCAGGAACAGTTGCACACCACGGTTGACAGAAGCATAGCATCATGACAGCTACCCGGACAACATTGCTTATTTTCCGCCTCTACTGAAAATACTTTCTTTTCTCATTTATATCCTGGTTAGTTTCCTCTCTCTCTAATCCCTCCAGTTCCTCCCTTCCTCCGACGCCATCCAGATCCACCCCCTTTCTGACTCTTGTTAGAGAAGAACAGGCTTCTAAGAGATGCAAGAAAACATATCCAAACTAATTAGACTAAGATAAAATCCAACTATCACACAGAAGTTAGACAAGGCAAGCCAACAGAAGGAAACAAGAAGCGAAGGAAGGCCAAAGAGTCAGAGACCCACTCTGTCACTCAGTCAGGAGTCCCACAAAAACATGAGGTGAAAGCTGTAATGTAGACACGGAGGACCTGGTGCAGAGACATGCAGGCCCTGTGCACGCTGCTTCAGTCCCTGTGACAGCCTTTTTCAGGTGATGGTCTCCTGGTGTCCTCCATCATCTCTTGCTCTTACACTCTTTCTGCTTCCTCTTCCTCAGGTTTCCTTGAGTGGATAGATTTGATGGACACATCTTATTTAGACCTCTGTCTAAATTCCAGAGTTTCTCTCTCTCTCTCTCTCTCTCTCTCTCTCTCTCTCTCTCTCTCTCTCTCTCTCTCTCTCTCTCTCTCTCATCTCTCTCTCTCTGTGTCACTCTGGCTATGTCTCTCTCTCTCTCTTTCTCTGCATCTCTCTCTCTCTCTCTCTCTTACACACACACACACACACACACACACACACACACACACACACACATACACACAACACACACACATGTCTGCCTGTGGGTCTCTGTAGTTGTTTCTGTCTGCTGCAGGAGGAAGCCTATCTGATGAGGTCAGACCAAGGCTCTGATCTATGAGTATAGCTTAACATCATTAGAACTCATTTTTTCACTACCAAAAAACCCCCAAAACAGTAGTATTTGCTTTAAGACTAGGTCTCAGGGCCATCTAGTCTCTGGTTATTAGTCACCAAGGCAGTATCAGGTATGGGTTCCATCTGGTAGAGTGGGCCTTCACTCAAATCAGATACAAGCTTCTTGCCAACATTGCCCTACCATATTTTGCAAGCAGGAGAGCAGTGTAGATAAGAGGACTTTTGGCTGGATTGATAGTTCTATTGTTCTTTTGGTAGCCCACAGAGTACCTTCCTACTCTAAAGACACTAGGATGTAGGAATGAAGGTTCTATGTAGGCACCAGCTTGACCTCTCCATATTCAATGAGTTGTGTGTGAGTGTCCTTCAGCAGTGGGGCCTTGCTTTCAGTTTGTGGAGAGCAACCTATTGTCTTGACAACAGCCTGGGTTGTTTGGGGATTTCCATGGGACCCCTTTTTCCAACATCTCCAATGCATGTGACCCAGTCCTGGTAATGGAAGTGTTGTTTGATGACAAGAGATTGCCAGTTGGGACTCTGTCTCCCTCATTATAGGAGACTTCATTAGGCTTGCCTTCATATATTTTAGAAAGTTTCCACTGCACTAGGTGTCCATGCCACCCCTCAGATGACCCTCAATTCTACCTGTGTCTTCCTGCATTCTCTCCCTCAAACCCATTTCCCCCACTAGCCAAGGTGATCCTGCTGCTCTAGACTCCTCCAGTCTACCCATAAAATCTATTCTAGTTCCCCCTTCCAGGGAGATCCTTGTGTCCTCCCAGTCCCTTCCACTATACCTAATCTCTCTGGGACTGTGGATTGTAGCTAGGTTATCCTTTATTTGAACAATAATATCCACGTACAAGGGAATGTACACCATCTCTACCTTTCTGAGTTTGGGTTACCTCACTCAGGATTCTTTTTCCAGCTCCATCCATTCTCGTGCAAATTTCATGATGTCATTTTTTAATAGCAGAGTAATATTCCATTGTTTACATGTCCCAGGTTTTCTTTATCCATTTTTCTGTTGAGGGACATCTAGGTTGTTTCCACTTTTTGGCTCTTATGAAGAGAGCAGCAATGATCATGGTTGAGCAAGTGTTTTGGTATTTTGTTTTCGTTCTGACAAATAAAGCTTGCCTGAAGATCAGAGGGTGGTACTAGCCACTAGTTAACCATAGAGGTCTGGAGGTCTGTACAGAGAGGAGACAGGAAAGGCTATGACTGGGCAGAGAGAGAAAGTGATGAGGCAGAGAGTGTGGGAGCCCATTCTCGGGTTCCTCGTGGCTTTACCCAGAAGGTCCACATAGAGGATGATTAGGACCATGAGCTTGAGTGCAGGTGTCTGAGATGGTCTGCACTTGGCTGTGCTGGGGGAGGAGGTCTTTTGCTCCACCCCTTGGAGTCTCCATAAAAACCCTGGGGCAGAGACAGTCGAGCCCGTTGGAAAAGGTTTCAGGCCCTCTCGAGGCTCTCCTTTATTTTCTATCTGTTTATCTCCACAATATTCTCAGCAATATAAATCCTTCCATATTTCCTGCTGCTCACACTCAAGAAAACTCTGGGGAGCTGTGGGGATGGTGGGTAAACGCCTTACAAGAGAGGAGACAGGAGCTTTGCCCCTTCAGTTCAGAGCAATCAGAGAGGTAAGAGCTGACTGTGGCTGCTTCATTGCTTCTCGGATCTCTCAGCTTTCACCCTGATATCTGACTCTGGGTTTGTATTATTAAGACTAATTAGCTTTGTGCTCCAATCAAGTGTCCTTAAGGAAGGATGAAGCTTGCTTGGGGTATATGCCCAAGAGTGGTATATCTGGAATTTGAGGTAGAGTGATTCCCATCTGGAGTACAAGTCCTTCTAAATCAACTCACAGAAACTCACAGAGAGTAAAGTAGCAAGCACTTTGGGTCCATGGGTCTTCACCATGTCCTCTATGTATATATTCTACCTTTCCATATGTTAGTTGCTCTTTAATTCATATTTTTATGGGATCCTGAGTGAATGAACCAGTGGTCTCTGATTCTTGTGTCTCCTTGTGGGCTCTGTTCCTCCTGTTGGTTTGCCTGGTCCAGCTTGTATTTGATAGCTGTGTTTTGTCTAATCTAATTTATTTAGCTGTGTTTTGCTGTTATCTCCTAGAAGCGTGTTATTTTCTAATGAGAGACAGAACCACAGTAGATCCAGATGGGAGGGTAGGTGGAGTGGAACAGGGAGGAGTAGAGGGGAGGGAACCTCTAATCAGGATATAGTATGGAGAAAAACCTATTGTGAATAAAAATCATGGAAGGAAGATTCCCAGACTGAAGTATAACACAAAGGAATCATGGTTCACAGAGATATACTGACTCTTATTTTGTTACTAGTAGGTCACTTGAGTATCAGTACTTATCCACCAATGCCCCAAAGCTAGACCACAATCAGCAGTGAAATGTTATTGCTTTTCCCCTTCCCCTCATCTGACATTTCGTTCCTTCCCTCCTTCCCTCTCTTTTTGCTTTTGTCTTCATTTTATTTAGATTGCTCTCGTTCTCCTATGCTACCTTTACTTGATTGCTATTACTCCTTGTCTTTATCTAGGTGTTATATAGTAAAGTCTTATTTTGATTGCATTCTTTGTAGTGTTCCAATGTTTGTTGAGGTTGTGCGATGTCCTTAACTGTAGACTTGGTCATCTATAATCTGGCATCTTCTCTGGTTGTAGTTATCACTTTTCACTCACCTGCGCGCGCGCGCGCGCGCGCGCACACACACACACACACACACACACACACACACACACACATATATGTATGTATATATATAATTTATTTAATGATTTCGTGTGTTGAGAAATATACCAGATGATGAGAGAAAAAGGGGACACATGTAACAAACCTCTCATTTCAGAAGCTTACAGCGCATGTAGAGAGATACATAAACTTACAGGAAGTGACAGCGCATTAGGGTTTTATGAACAAACAGTTTCCTCAAATTTAGTTATTGGAATAAATGAAGTGATAAATAGTGTGTTGGAAAGTTATGGAACAAGATGACCAGACTGTCCAAAATTAGAAAAAAAGTATATATTTTTTTTCTTGAGACAGGATTTCTCTATGTAGCTTTGCTCCTGTCCTGGAACTCGCTTTGGAGATCAGGCTGAGCCTCGAACTCACAGAGATCCACCTGGCTCTGCCTCCCGCGCCACCACCGCCTGGCTTTAAGCCGTGAAAGCTAAGGCATGCTTGTCTCCAAAGCGAGTTCCAGGAAAGGCGCAAAGCTACACAGAGAAACCCTGTCTCGAAAAACCAAAAAAAAAAAAAAAAAAAAAAAAAGATAAAAGAGGTTTGAATAGGAAGGTTTCAGGAAACTTGACATGCTCTCAGATATCCTAGCATATTGCTAGTCAGCAAGACATAATTATGAATCCCACATGATAGTCTCAAGTTGAACTAATACTACAAAATAAAGTTGAATTAAAATTGATGGGCCTGAATAATTCAAAGTATTATTTATTGTTTTCCTGCCTTGTTTTAAATAGCATAAGGTGGTTTATTATTATTTTTTACTTTGATTGAAATAGATTATTTTCTCATCCAATAAATGTGATAAAAATCCTATGAAAACCCTAAAGTGGAAGCCGTAAAATATACTCAAAGTAGGTGAAGGAGACCCTTGAGGTCTGTATGAATGGGAGATCAGTGTCTCTGCATTCATATAGGCTTTGATCAATTAGGTGAGAAGCAAGGGGATGTAGCTCAGCGGTAGAGCGCGTAGTTCGCGTTTATGAGGTCCCGGGTTCGATTCCCGGCATCTCCAACACAGTTTTTTTTTTTTTTTTTAACTTTTGAATTTTCTTTTTCAGGATGTTTCTGCACAAGGTGTCCTAGACTTTAACTTTTTGTTAGGGGATCATATGTGCATAGCTAATTATTGGATGAAAGTATTGGATGAAATCTGTCACCATAACAACAATGTTCATCTATGACCTTGACTACTTTTCCATGGAGACCGCCATAGACTGGTGAGTCCAATGAGGTCATGCCTCTTGGTATATGTTTTGTTCACAGAAAAAAAAAAAAAAAAACAAGCTCAGCTTTGTTGCCGGTAGCAATGTCTCTAATGGGTACTATTATTATTATTATAATTATTTTTATTGAAAATAGATTGTTTTCTCATTCTTTATATGTCCTAAAAATCTTATCAAAACCCTAAACTGGAAACAATAAAATATACTCAAATGTCTTGACGCAGAACCTTGTAGTCAATATATACGCTGAATCAGTCTTTCAGCATTCATATGGGCTTTGATCAACACATTTTCGAACGCGGAGATGTAGCTCAGTGGTAGAGCACATGTTTGGCGTGTATGAGGTCCCGGGTTCGATTCTCGGCATCTCCTAGTAATTTTAACTTCCATATTTTGCTTTCCAGGATGATTCTGCACAAGGTGTCAGAGACTTTCAATTTGGGCCAGTTATTGGTTGAAATTGTTCATCTGTTACCATGACATCAATGTTCATCTATGACTGTGACTACTTTTCCATGGAGACCGCCATAGTCTAGTGAGTAGAACATGGTTGTGCCTGCAGGGATATGTTTTCTTCACAGAAAAAATAGCAAACTCAGCTTTCTTGCTGGAGGCAGTTTCACTAATGGGTACTATTATTGTTATTATTATTATTTATTGAAAATAGATTGTTTTCTCATTCTTTACATGTCCTTAAAATCTTGTCAACCCTAAACTGGAAGCCATAAAATAGCCTGAAAAGACCTGACACAGTACCTTGTAGTCAATATGAATGCTGATCATTTTCTCTCTTAAGTGCTTTCATCAATGAAGTAGCTCAGCAGTAGAGTGCATGCTTTGTATGCTTTGTATATGTGAGGTTCCAGAGTTCAAGGTTTTCTTTTGCAGCATGTCTCTGCACAAGGTGTCCCAGACTTTATCTTCCTCTATGAGGTTATATATGCATAGCTATTTATTGGAAGAAATTTCTCATCTCTCACAGTGACAACAGAGTGATGACATTTCCATGGAGACCACCATATTCAGGTGAGTAGACTATGGTCACGCTTCAAGGGATATGTTTGGTTTACAGACAAAAAAGCAAAGCTCTGCTTTCCTGCTGGTGGCCGTTTCTCTAATGGGTATGCTTTCTCGGGTGATAACAAGGGTGAAGAGTTCTTGCTTTGAGAGAAAGGAAGGGAGGGCTGGGCAGAACCATTCCTGCTTACTGAACAGGGGAAGCATTGCTGTTGTCATAGAAACCTGGGCTCATTATGAAGACTGTTTTCAATGGCGATCCAGGCGGTGTCCTGGAAAATGAGCATCCCTAGTTTTGGACTGAGCTGAGCTTATGCATTCCTGGAGGTGAGCACTGGATTCTTCCTGAGGGTGGAGAGGAAGATGCAGGGATCCCAGACCCAAGTAGGTTCACCCCCACTTCAGGATTTGTAGCCAGTGTGTCTCCAGAAGGAGAGAAATTTGAAACTATTGTGCCTCTTCAGTGTGCTGTTCTGTGCAGGGACGGGTGTGCTGGAGTCATTGTCCGGGCTAGGTGTTCTGAAGAAGGAAGCAGGAGGGACATAAGACAATGTGAGCACACTCTGATCCCAGTTTCCTGCTCTGTGAAAAGGGGATGAGATTGCTCACTCTCAGGATCGGGGGGACAGTAAGTGATAAAGCCTAAAGAGAAGTCAATGATTACCCTGCATGTCTCAGATGATGATTTCAATATGCAGTTGGTTAGAGGATTTTCTTTTTCGTTTTTAGTAATTTGAGGTTTTATTTGCTTTTGAGACAGCAATCACTGTGTCCTATCCTGGCTGAGAACTCTCAGTCATTCTCCTGCCTCAGCTGCCTCGTGAAGGGACTTCAGGTGTGGGATACTGTGTGCTTGGCACCAGTTTGGGATTTTATTTTCCCTTTTTGTGATACCCACCCACCAGGTGGCCCTGATGTCTCCTCAGAATCCCTGCCATGATGCTCTCTGCATATGGCACTAATATTTCTAATGAATCTCTTATAAAAAGGACAGTCCTATCAATGTCCCTCTTGAACAACACACCTGAAACCTTTCCCATTTCTCAATTTCTATTTTCTGCCTGACTTTTGTGAGCTTTTCTGTATGATTCATAGAAATTTGTTGTTAAATATGTGTTTTTCTAACTTTTCTCCTAGCCATAGAGTTATCTTCTCAGTTCTCATCCATCCTCTGGAAGAGCGGGAGATTTTAAATTGTAAGGATTCACCTTCTCCAGTTCTTCAATTGTGGTTTTATTTGGTGTCTTGTCTGTGATATCTTCACTCAGTCCCAGAAACAAGGATTTTCTTCTGTGTGTTCTCTTTGACATTTATAGGCATATTTTTTATATTTTTCCATCTCAAATTTATTTTGAGTGGTGTTTGCACATGATATGATTTTTATTTATATTTGTGGATATGGATATACACTTGCCTCCGCATTGTTTGCAGAAAGACCATACTTTCTGCACCAAATTGCCTTTTCTTGTTTGTCAACCATCAGTTCTCCAACATTCCAGGCATGGTACATGTGCCAATATTCCCAGTGCCTGAGAGGCTGCAGCAGCAATATTGTCAGTTCTTTTCAGCCCTGACTCTGCACAGGCTTGATGTCAGCATGGGATACATAGGAAAATGTTGGCGCACAGTAGGCAATGGTCTGTAAATGTGTTGGTGTAAGCACGGACAGTAGATTTTGGTCTTTTACTTGCCAATGTTGATTCCAATAGCATGCTGGTCCAATTACTGTAGGTTCAAATGGAGTACTCCTATTAGGCAATGCTGTTCTCTAACTCGGCCCCTCTGTGTTGGACTGATCTAGCATCTTGTCACTAAGTTGGACCTGACATTTAAAAAAAATCAGAAAATGTCACTTTAACAAAGCCTTAATTTTCTGCCAAAGGACTAAGTGTCATCACAAGGCAGCTAATGCCTGTAGCTGAAGTTTCTCTGCTTTACCATAATAGCCTACTTAATATCTCCACCAATGCACTTAAGGAGTGCCTTGATTCATAATTTTCTTCATTCTGTTACTAGACAAACTGCATGCAACTGTTCCTTCATTGTGACATGGAATTTGTTCTAACCTAAATCTGTCCCACTCATATTTTCTCACTCATTTTTGATTCCAGAATAAACTCTCTCTTCTTCCTTTGAGGTGAGAGCTGAGTTTTTGTATTGACATTTGTAAGCATGTATTTATGTATTGGGAGACACTACCCACCAACACCACAAGTGTTTTCTTGAGTGAGAGTAGCAGGAAATGTTAGATAGAAGGATTTACATTGTGGAGGTAAACAGAAAATATGGGATAGCCTTGAGAGGACCAGGAACCTATTTCAATTGGCCCCGACAGTCTCTTCCCTAGGGTATTTATAGAAATGACAAGGGGTGGAGCAAAAGACCTCCCCCCAGCACAGCCAAGTGCAGACCATCTCAGACGCCTGCACTCAGGCCCGTGGTCCAATCATCCTCTCTATGCGGACCTGCTGGGAAAAGCCACGAGGAACCTGAAAACGGGCTCCCACAGTGTATACTGTTATACATGTGTGAATATGTCTCTGAAGTTGCCAGGCATAGTTATCACTGAATGTTAAATAATGTGCTCATGTAATTCACAGATTAAGAGCATATTAGGCTCAAGTGTGGTGTGTATTTTTCTCCCTGTTATTCCTTAGCCAACATCATTACCCCAGTGCCTAAATGATTTCTGTGTGCTATAGCAGAGACTAATAATATATTTGTGAAAGTTAGTTAAATCTATTATTACTGTGATACATTTGATGTGTTATAATTCTACTCCTGCTTCTTCATGATGATCTGGTGTTTAATATATTGCTTACTTATTCTCCATAGTTATTTGTTCATGTATGGATTTATCTCAGAATGTCTCAGAATACCTATTACAATTACCCTGTCATATTGGCATTCTGTGTTTTGATGCTCAATTTTTCCCACTATTGGCCAGAGGAGTCCATTAAAGATGCCTGTGGAGCATTTCCTGAGTCTAAACATTGCACTGTCTGAGCCCTTGTATAGAAAGGAATTAATGATGCCCACCTCAAAGAATCATTTTGAGGCCTGAAGAGACAGAAAGCAGACACATGTTGTGTGTGTCTAGTAAGGCAAATTTCCCTTGCCTCTTTCATGTAGTCGGTGTGATGACTCTGGCATGAAAGTAGTTCATGAGTACACACAAGGGAGAGCACTTGGCAAGGTAATGGCAAATGAACAAGCTCTCACTTCCATTATGTGTATGCATTCCTAGGTATCACTGTGTGTGTCCATGGTGATGTGATGAGCTGGGAAGAGGAAAAGCATCATTGTATACCTTCCACTGATGGAGTCTGCACAGGTAAGGCACCGCCAATCCATCCCCCGGGTTTTATTGCTTTCTCATTCTGGATTCCTCAATTTCATGTGTTTTCTTTCCTTCATGCTACGTTGTAATTTAAAGAGGATTTATTCTCTGTGCTTTCCCATCCCATAAGCCCACTCTTCTAGCAATCTCAAGCATAGTTGCAATCTTGTAGCCTCTAGGATCTGCACACTTTTCTCTCTTTTCTAGGTGTCCTTTCACTAACTCTCTTTTCTTCCCTGACACTGTGACCTTTCTCTAAAGTTCCCTCCCTACCATGTGGCTGCTTATGAACCCTGCAGGCTTAATTCAGATGGGACAGCATTCCTCTTTTTTCTGCTCAACTCTTTCCTTGGTGCAGCTGAGATTTGCAATTACTTGCTCTGGAGATTTTCAGGTTTTCTTTCTCTGTTTTCCTCCTTAGGTTTATTTATTTCATTCTCCATGTTTGAGTATTTTGCCTGCATAAATGTCTATGTACCACTTGGGTGCCTGGTATGCAAAGAGGTCAGAATTGGCATCAGATCCCCTGGAATTGGAGTTGTGCATGGTTGTGAGCCTCCTGGTGGATGCTGAAACCAAACCTGGGTCTTCTGCAGGAATAAGTGCTCTAAAGACATTAGGGTTTCTCTTTTAAATTCTAATGTCATTATCCTACAGAAGCTAGAGAGATATTTCTGTAGTTAAGAACCCTTGTTCTTGTTGAAGACCCTTGGTCAGTTCTCAGAACTCATATGGAAGGTCACAACCATCTGTAACTTCAGTTCCTGGATTTCTGACATCCTCTGCTGACCTCTTCCAGCACAGCAATACAAGATCTGTACATGTATGCACGTGGGCAAAATAGCCACACACATAAAAATTATAAACAAATCTTAACCTTTTATTGTCATCAAATTTCCATTGAGTCTTTTTAAAAATTATGTTATTAATGAGCCCAAGAATCCCAAGAGGATTTGCTGTTATTTCTGGAATCAATATGTGCTGTGGGATGTGGTTCTATATGCTGTGCATATATGTTGGTCTCATTGGTTGGTAAATCAAGCTGTTTGACCAATGGTGAGGCAGAATAAGGTTAGGCAGTACATTCAGACTGAATATGGAGATGGAGAAGAGTGTAGTTGCAGCAAATGCTGGGAACTGCCTCCAGGAGAAGCAAGATGTGAGAGAACAAATAATGTCATGAAGCCAAGTGGCCAAACATAGGTTAATAGGAATGGGTTGAGTTAAGTTCTAAGAGCTAGCTGGCAAGAAGCCTGAGCCATATGCCATACAGTTTGTAATTAATATAAGCCTCTGTGTGTTTACTTGGGACTGAGAGGCTACAGTACCAGGCAGGATACAAGAAAACTTGTGGCTACAATTGGCACCCAGGTGTGATATCCCTGGCCTGCTAATTGCAGCTCAGTTGCCACCTGCAGAGGCCAGAACTTCCTGTTCCCCCAGACATACACTGTGGCCCCTGTCACCCTGTGCCTGTGTCTTTAAGCCCGTCACGGTGCTCCCAAGCCCACATGGACAGGTGAGCTCTTAAAGAGCCACTAGGACTGTAATGATGGCCTACCCACACATTGGGGGCACCAGATGTAGGCAGAAATCCAAGGGAGTCTGCTTAAGGGGTAGAGGGAATTTATTAGGATATAATTTGGAGAGAACAACTCACTAAACAGAAAAAGGCAAAATCATCTCAGAGTCCTGGAAGGCTGATATCCTGTCCCATACTCCTCCTGCTGCCTAAGTCAGTCCACACTACCCAAGCCCAGAGGGAGGAGGAGAGCCAGGCTTTCATGCTCCCCAGGTCTCAAGCCTGCCTGAGGTCATCCCTAGGTAGAACAGGTACCCACTACAAATATGTCTTTTTGATAATTGTTTTTGTTTCTATAGACAATGATTTTCTGAGGAATAGCCTTGGCTATCCTGGAAACTACTCTGTAGTCCATGCAAGGCTTGAACTCACCTCTGCCTGCCAAGTGCTGGGATTAAACTCATGCACCATAATTAACGACAAATTTCAATATGTCTTAAAATATATCATAAGGATGAGATGAATGATTTGCATGTTTAGGGTTTTTCTCCTCATAGTTTAACTACATTTGATTATTTTTAAAAAATGCATTATGGTCTGACCTGGAAGAGTTAGGGAAGTCTGGCCAGGTAGTGTGACATCAGTCGTGGTCGATAATCTCTTCATAGTTCTTAAGTCTCTTTATTAACATGAGTTATGCTTAGTGCTCCAGTTTGTAATTGCACAAAAGGACACACCTTAGCACTCTTTTTGCCAGGGCACCATACACTGTAAAGAACACAGTTGTATACCTTTCAATACTTAAGCTTATATCACATGTAAGGAAATCCCCTGCTGTGTTTGTGTTCAGAGTTTGCACACTGATTTTCTATCGTTGATTTTCCTGATGTATGGAGGTTTTTTCAAACAGTGGCAGAGCTGCTAATAGGCTGGATGGATGTCATTTGATTCACCCACATGGAAATCAATGTGGGTAGATGGGGAGATCTTCAACTGCTGGATTTGTCCCATTTTCTTTCCCACTGAACTTGACAACTGCCAGTCATGAGCATATGCAGGCTGATATAGAAACAGGCCCCTCAGCCCTGCCAACGTTACAGATCTTGTGGCCCCACAGGGTGCAGATTGCTCAGCTCCTGGCTCCAACTTGCACCACAGCTTCAGGGCAGTCTAAGTACCAGGGCTACTCAGTCCTTAACTGTAGCTAAGTTTTCCTGCCTGGCCCACAGTCAGGACAAATCTCTGCCACCTGCCAGTCCCACAACCGCTCAGACCCGACCAAGTAAACACAGAGACTTAAAATGGTTTCAAACTGTATGGCTGTGGCAGGCTTCTTGCTAACTGTTCTTACAGCTTAAATTAATCCATTTCTATTAATCTATACCTTGCCACGTGGCTTGTGGCTTACCGGTACTTTACATCTTCCTTGTCCTGATGGCGGCAGGCAGTGTCTCTGACTCAGCCTCCTGTTCTCTCAATTCTCCTCTCTGTTAGTCCCGCCTATACTTCCTGCCTGGCCACGGGCCAATCAGTGATTTATTTATTGACCAATCAGCAACACATTTGACATACAGACCATCCCACAGTACTTAACAGTAGCCACTGACAGAACTCTTCTGTAGGTGCTGGACTCAGTGCTCCTTAACCCTAATACAAACTGAAATGTAGATAGGCTTCGGGAACCCTCCACAGCCAGGACTTTCATTTTCTCTTTCCTGTCGTCTTACAGCCCTTCTCCTTCTTCAGTAGCAACCCTCCTAGCTCTCTTGACCCCTTTCTACTTCCCCTGCCCTTCTTTCTTTCCTGGCCCCTTGAGGTTTTTCAGCTGTTGCTTCTTCAGCCGTCAGACAGCTGGTTGCCTTGTCTCTTCTTCTACTTGGCCTTACATCCCCACTGTCAATGCCATTCCCCTCTCCTCTATGTCTACCTGTCCCTGTCCCTCTGTCCTCCCCCTTACCTCTGTCTCATGCTCCTTACCTGAGACACAGTCTTCATAGCCCAGGTGGTCATTGAAACATGACCCTGCTGCTGCCCTCGCTGATAGCTGAGATTACAAGTGTGACCCATTACACTTGGTTCTGCTGGTGCTAACTCCATCCCATCAGCTATGGTACTGAACATAGGTAAAGGAGGACAAAGCAAGAGAGGCCTGTTCTTGTGTCTAATGCTACAACACCAGGTCACACAGCACAGGAGAGCATCTTCCAGTCAAGCCTGAGCAACCTGATTGTATTTGGGACCAACTACAACCATCTGGAAGACAATCACAGCCTTGCCTCTCAGCATCAATCACCATCACTCAGGTTTGTGTTTTGTCCCAGTGCAGTTTTGCCTTTTACCACCAATCACAGTCACCGAGGCTTTGCTTTTAAACCAATCACAGCTTGTGTCTGACCACTAGACATACAGTACCTCTCCTAGGCCATCCCAAAAAGGGCTCCCCTCAGGCTTATTGGAAATTATTTCATGCCCTTCTAAGTTTCCCTGAGGCTTGTGATAACTAAATCCAGTGAAAACAGTTTCACAACAGACAGGCTAGAGCCATATCCTAGGACTAGCACAAACCAGTTGTGGTCTTAGGACAGTTTTCTCAGGGTATCTGTGGAGGGTTGGAGACATCTGCTGAAGACTTGACAAGTCTGCCTGGCTGTTGGACTCACAGTCTTCTTGCCCAAGGTAGCCAGGGCAGCAATGATGTCCACAGCTGCCAATTATGTTAGTGCATGCTTCATCATCATTGCTCATAGGAAAGAAACATTAGCAAGTGTTTTTACACCAGAACTCAAAGATCACCAACAGTGATTTAAAAACAACCCTGATTTTGATAATGCATTAGCAGTATTGAAAATGGGGGATCCCCCAATGACGGAGAAATGGAAGAGATCTACATGAACAGCCTGGACATGAGTGGGGGTAATGAAGGGCGAGGGTCGAGGGAAAGAGAGCTTGGGGGAGCGGAAGATCCCAGATCGATCAACAACAGAGAGGGAGAAGAAGGAATAGGAGACCATGGTAAATGAAGACCACATGAGAACAGGAAGAAGCAAAGTGCTAGAGAGGCCCACAGAATTCCACAAAGATACCCCTACAACACACTGCTGGCAATGGTCGAGAAACAGCCCGAACTGACCTACTCTGGTGATGGGATGGCCAAACACCCTAATTGTCGTGCTAGAAACCTCATCCAACTACTGAGGGATCTCGATGCAGAGATCCATGGCTAGGGCCCGGGTGGAGCTCTGGGAGTCCAATTAGCGAGAATGAGGAGGGTTTATATGAGTGAGAATTGTTGAGACCAAGGTTGGATAAAGCACAGGGACAAATGGCCAAACCAATGGAAACACAAGAACTATGAACCAATGGCTGAGGGGGCACCAACTGGATCAGGCCCTCTGAATGGGTGAGACAGTTGACTGGCTTGATTTGTTTGGGAGGCATCCAGGCAGTGGGACCGGGTCCTGTGCTCATTGCATGAGTCAGTTGTTTGAAACCTGGGGCCTATGCAGGGTCACTTGGCTCGGCCTGGGAGGAGGGGACTGGATCTGCCTGGACTGAGTCTACCAGGTTGATCTCAGTCCGCGGGGGAGGCTTTGCCCTGGAGGAGGTGGTAATGGGGGGTGGGCTGGGGGGAAGGTGAGGGGGGCCGGAGGAGGGAGAACAAGGGAATCCGTGGCTGATATGTAGAACTGAATTGAATTGCAAAATAAAAATTAAAATTAAAATAAAAAAAGAAAATAAATTGCATTAAAAAATCTTCAACATAAAAAAAGACACCTCAAAGTTTTTTGTTTTTGTTTTTGTTTTTGTTTTTGTTTTTTTAGATAACAACAAATAAACTAGGGCTTGAAGTGATTGCTCATTGTTTAAGAGCAGTGGATGTCTTCCAGAGGATCCAGGGTCCATTCCCAGCACCTACCTGATGGTTTACCACTGTCTGTAACTCCAGTTCCCAGAGATCTCATGAACTCTTGTGCCCTCCCTGGGCATTAGGCACTCATGTGGTGCCCAGAATTACATGTGGAAAAAAAATGCAAATAAATAAATAAATGAATAAACTGTGCTTACTTAGGGCCAGATTGCTTGTAGCCTTGAGATGAACCCCATTAGTGCTCTGGTATCATGCCTAAATCATATCACTACCTTACAATTTAATGTGATACAAGAAACTCTTGAAGAGAAAAAAGATCATTTAAAAAGTATTCTTTTACTTAATTTTAAAGCCTGAATTTAAGCTTCCTTTAAACTTAAACCTTCCCAATTATATTCTTTGAACAATGTAACTTTGAAAGCCACAGAACCTCTCTCCCAGCCTCCCTCCTCTCCTCACATACACGTATACAATGACACCTAATCTCAAGTCTTTCTCTAGTCCACACTCATGTCTTCATGCATGAACTGCCTTTATTCTAGGTGAGTCTCTGTCCAAAGAATTAATAAGCTCACTACCTTTGCTTCACTCTGGCTTGTTCTGAAATTCTTTTCTCTGGACTAGTCATAGCTCAAGCTTCACCAAAGTAGAGGACACTGAAGAGACAGGGCACTCCTCAGGTTGTTGGTCACAGTGCTGGGCTCCTCTCCTTACCACCACTGAGAGTCCCAGAAAAACGCCTTGAAAAGCATGTGGTTTGTTCAGTGAAGTGTCTTTGTATCTTCTCCTAGAGGCATCCTTCCACATGCATGTGGCTCCTTCTGTCCTCTTCGTATCCTTTTCTGTCTTGGAGCCATTACCAAGCACGCTGTCTTAACTACTCTAGGTTTATAAGGAGTTTTGAAACCAGATGTTCATCCTCCAACTTTGCTCCTTTTCAAGGTTGTTTTTTCAAGCTTGGCTTCTTCATACTCACTGTGAGTTTCAGAATCAGCCCTTTAGTTTCTTTCTAAAATGTCTGTTAAGGGTTCTGTTGGTATTGTACTGGATCTGCAGGTCAGTTTGAGGAGAACAGACTCCTTAGCAATGCTGTGTCTTCTGTCCAATGAAGATGATGAATCCATATATCTTTAGTTTCTCTCAGCAATGATTTGTCCCATTCAGTGTCTAGACTCTACATAGAAGTGAGCAGACTTTTCCTAATTTTTTCATGTTTTCTGATGGTATTCTAAGTGATAGGTATTTTAAATTAGAGTTTCCACATATTTCACAGTAAGTGACTGTCTGTGGGTAGATTTTAACTGAGTCTGTTGAAGAATCTTTTAGTTTTGGAATGTTAGGTTACACATTCTATGATGAAAACGTCCTTCATGTTAACATATATTTGCCTGTGTTTCAGTTCCAGTATTTTAAGTTGCAGAGAATTTGGCGACCTATAAGAAAGGTAACAAATGTCCAACACCGAATTTGGTGGAAAACTACTAAGACAACCATAGGGCAAATGTTTGCTCCAAATGGAATCTGCACAATCATAGATAGTCCTCTATCTCACAGCCAGCTCCCTCAAGGAGCTGAGATCATGGGGGGAGAGAGAGAAAGTGATGCATGTGAATATCTGTGTGTGTATCCGTAACTGCAGGAACGTGTGCGTTGTGAAGAATACTTACACTTAATCATTTTCATGATAAATAATTTTTTCCCATCACAAAAAGGACAAGGTTAGTAGCTGTGTGTTTTACCTCTAGTTTTGCTGTGAAGCATGCAGATTTTAACAGTGACTGCTGGGGGATTGTGTACAGATGGAGTATTTTATGTATGATTCTTGCCACATCACTTATCACCATTATACCTGCTAATGTTGCCTCTGATACCCACTTCCCTGAGCACTTATTACTCTCCAAGCATTACTTGTCTTTCAGTATAGTTTCACTTTTTTCTCGTTTGCTTCTTAATGTATTTATTCATGCATTTGTGTCTATCAGTACTACTCAGAGACCCCCATTTTTACAGGAGTGCTCCTTTGCCATCACTATATATTGTGATGCCTAAATTATCCAATCCCGTGCCAGTGGAAGGACACACCTTCAAGTTGACCTGCTGCTCATTTGTTTCCTGCCTAGAATTCTGGACCATCTGACCAGCCCTGGAAGGAAGTAATGGTGTCCATCTCAGTGCTTTGAAGACCTTGAAGATGAAGGTTTACAAATGACAACTTACAGAGGGTGGCGTGTAGAGAGTCATCAGCAAATGGTAGTTGTCAGTGGCACTTTGACTCCTCTGTGGGTCAATGTCAGGTTCATCTATGAGAAGAACAGCAGGACTGCAGAGAGAACATGCAGAAAGTTGACAACAAGCTGACATATGCCCATGTTTCCAATATGTATGAATTGTCAGTGTCACTGGTGCTTGTGTGTGTGTGTGTGTACACGTACGTGTCTACATGGGTGTGTGTAGGAAGTGTTCGTGAGCTGAGCTGAGAAGAGGAAAAATGTCATTGCACAGCTTGTACTGGACTTAATGTAGACAGGCTACTCCATCCCTATATTCATACAGTATATCACATGAGCTTTCTATCTGCATTACTCTCTTTTCCATGAGCTTTCTTTCCCCTCACTCTGCCTTCTAGTAGAACCTGAGAGGAAGCTGTGGACTCTCCATCCGGAACCAGCTCCTGGAGAAGAACCAAGTGTGGTGTAGAGTCTTATCAGCATGTTACCAGAGCGAGAGTGGTAAGATCATGTGGGACACAACAGGTGAGTCATTTCCTTTTCTCTTCCCATCCCTCTGACCAGCAGCAGTTCTGTGGAGTCGGGATGCCATGTAGGAAAGTCTCCTGTGGTATCAGGTGACAGCAAAGAGCAGCACACTTGGGAACAAGGGCACTAATAGACTCTCCAGATGTCTGAACTCTGCATGGGTGCCTTTAAATGACCAGTACTAGAATGGAAGTCGTTCACATCAGGACATTTTCTGGAATGGGCCATGAATTTCTGCATCACATTTGCAGGTAGTGCTTATTAAAATGGTAGATATCCCATGTCCACAAAACATAGCTAAATCAAATCCTGGGAAGTGGGGTGGGGCATATCCAGTTCTTTCTGATGGCTGTCCATGTTTAAAAAGTATTGCCAGTGGGTTTGCAATTCTGTGTTCTAGTATATTGATTCACGGACTTCTTAACTCTGTTAACATGCTCCCTTGCTGTTCATTTAAATATCAGTGTCTTAGGTGGTATGTGAAATATGCATCAGGTCCTTCAATTATGTCGTGTTTATCCAGATATTCACACTCTGGCCTCTTTTGTGGGCACCAGATTCCTGCACTGAGAGACAAGCAGGGTCCTGGAGTATCACGTTAGATTATCATGTCAGTAAGAAGAGGTAAATCAGTAATCGGAGCAACTCCATATATTACTTTAAAGTGCTTTAAAGAACACAAAGGGTATAGAACATGGTTGTGATGGGGACTAGGGTCTGTGGGGTTGTCTCAAAAGTCCGGTTTCAGGAAGTAGCATTAGACCTGAGTCCTGAATGACAGAAAGAATCAAGGCATGTGCAAACCACGTTGTTGGTGTGCTTGCACTACATGGAGTACAATGGATCTAAGAGAAGAGGTCAAGGCCAGTGGCCAGAGCCTTGGAGAAAATATGTGCACTGCGTGGGGATGGGCTAGAAAGGCAGATATATGATGTTTTCCTCTATGTATGTCATTTGGATTATAATGTATTGTGGAAGGTTGGTGGGGGTGACATGATTTGATTCTTCTGGTGGAAGGTATCATGCCACTGTGTAGAGAGTGGGCCAAAGAGGACAGGATGAGGGCGTGTGTGGAGTCCGCCATTGAAGGATGTTTCAGAAGACCAGGGGAGGGGTGGACGTGGTTAGACGCCATGCTGCAGCAGTGCGCAGAGGGAGAGTCAGCCCTGCGCAGCCTTGTCTGGGAGAGAGCAGTAAGACCTGGACCTGCTGTGCATTTGGCCAAGGCCTCTGCTTTTGTCTGGCCACGCGAACACACAGTGGTTCTATTTACTAACATCAGTTGTTCCGGGTGCTTTTGACACATTCTCAGGACAGTCTGATAACCAAAATAGATTTTGTAAAAATTAGCAATTTAATAATATATGTCAGCTGATTAATTATTTTCAGATGTAAGTTTTTTTTTCTAAGTACAACTGTAGCAGTATTTCCAAAGGAATGAGATTCTTGACATTTGAATAATAAAAAGTGAACACAGAATTTAGGCTATTTTTGAAAATGGTTATTGTTCTACAGCCTGTAGTTGTGCTGATAAGGCAAATGAGCAGGTTTTAGGCAAAGTAAAAGTGCAATCAGTATCTAGCTGCTACAGCTATTGCTTGTCCCTATGCTTTCTTCAGAAGAAGACTATCTTTTAAAATACATATTTTGCCAGGTGGTGGTGGCCCACACCTTTAATACCAGCACTCATGAGGCAGAAGCAGGTAGATCTCTGTGAGTTTGAGGTCAACCTCTAATTCCAGGACAGCCAGGACTACACAGAGAAACTCTGCCTTGAAAGTCCAGCCCCTCTCAAACTGCATATTTCAGACATACACAGGAACCTCTGAGTGGTATTTAAAACAGGTATGATCACTAAAAGACCCCCAAATCTGTAGGTAAGCATTGTGACACTCTCTTTTCACAGAGTGGGGAGCTAGGCTCAGAGCAGAGTCTTCCTCTGTCTCCTCTTCCAAGAAAAAGCCT